GGTTGAACGGTGGGTAAACACTTGTAACTATTTTTATATCTACCGTGAAACATTACATATCAATTATTTGCGAATTTTGACCCAGAAGTTCAGGCAGAAGGGTTAAAATTGTTCAGGAACGTAGAGCTGAAAGGGTTAAGAAGGAAACACATTTTTTTTTGCATGTAGTTTACATATATATATATATATATATATATAGAGAGAGAGAGAGAGAGAGAGAGAGAGAGAAAGAGAGAGAGAGAGAGAGAGGAAGTGATGAAGTGGTAAGATCATGAATATTTACATCTATTGGAACATCGAGTCAAGGGATTGTATTGTTGTTCATATTCAGATCATAAGTGAATTAGTGAACAGAGATATTTTCTCAAAGGTTTCTTTAAGGTTGTGTATGAAAATAAGAACGACTAAATTTGAATACCGTCTGTTGTTTTATTTCCTTTCCCAAATAATTAAGATGGTGTCCATATTACATGGGTTTGTAATGATCTGGGCTCAACTCTCCTTGGAAGCTAATGTTACTTATCTTCTAAAGCTATGGGTAAATAGTAGGACAGACAGGGTTCTGTAGCCTTGAATATCAACTGGTTTATTGCAGAAAGAAATGGCAATCTACCGCGGGAAAAATCTGCCTCGTCAGTCATGTATCGAAAAGATACATGATCGCCTAAGCGTGTTTCACGCATGGCACATAACTGACTAAACCTGTGATGTCTTAGGTCAACAACAGTAATTTTTCTATTGCAATATCTCTCTTAAATTGGTACGTATGTTTAAAGCAAATTATCTCAAAGGGTTAAGGTAAGTACTATTATAAACGACAGACATTTTGTGTTGATTAATTGTCATGATTAACTTTTCCAAGTTGAGAATTTATTCTTAGACGAGGAGGAAATACCGTCAGAAATTGTCCGAAGTTTATTTCTGAAAAAATACAGGAACTATGGTCGATGCTTTGGTCTTTCTTCAGTCATCATCAGGATAAGTCTTTCTTCAGTCATCATCAGGATAGGTCTTTCTTCAGTAATCATCAGGATAAGTCTTTCTTCAGTCATCATCAGGATAAGTCTTTCTTCAGTCATCATCAGGATAGGTCTTTCTTCAGTCATCATCAGGATAAGTCTTTCTTCAGTCATCATCAGGATAGGTCTTTCTTCAGTCATCATCAGGATAGGTCTTTCTTCAGTAATCATCAGGATAGGTATCATCATCAGGATAAGTCTTTCTTCATCATCATCAGGATAGGTAGTCAACATCAGGATATCTTTCTTCAGTCATCATCAGGATAAGTCTTTCTTCAGTCATCATCAGGATAGGTCTTTCTTCAGTCATCATCAGGATAAGTCTTTCTTCAGTCATCATCAGGATAGGTCTTTCTTCAGTCATCATCAGGATAAGAGTCATCATCAGGATAGGTCTTTCTTCAGTCATCATCAGGATAGGTCTTTCTTCAGTCATCATCAGGATAAGTCTTTCTTCAGTCATCATCAGGATAGGTCTTTCTTCAGTCATCATCAGGATAAGTCTTTCTTCATCAGATCATCATCAGGATAGGTCTTTCATCATCATCAGGATAAGTCTTTCTTCAGTCATCATCAGGATCAGATAGGTCTTTCTTCAGTCATCATCAGGATAAGTCTTTCTTCAGTCATCATCAGGATACTTTCTTCAGTCATCATCAGATAAGTCAAGGGGATAGGTCTTTATTCCAGTCATCATCAGGATAAGTCTTTCTTCAGTCATCATCAGGATAAGTCTTTCTTCAGTCATCATCAGGATATGTCTTTCTTCAGTCATCATCAGATATTTTCTTCAGTCATCATCAGATAAGTCTTTCTTTAGTCATCATCAATAGGTCTTTCTTCAGTCATCATCAGGATAAGTCTTTCTTCAGTCATCATTAGGATAGGTCTTCAGTCATCAATAGGTCTTTATTCAGTCATCATCAGGATAAGTCTTTCTTCAGTCATCATCAGGATAAGTCTTTCTTCAGTCATCATCAGGATAGGTCTTTCTTCAGTCATCATCAGGATAAGTCTTTCTTCAGTCATCATCAGGATAGGTCTTTCTTCAGTCATCATCAGGATGGTGTAATCATCAGGATATTTTCTTCAGTCATCATCAGGATAAGTCTTTCTTCAGTCATCATCAGGATAGGTCTTTCTTCAGTAATCATCAGGATAAGTCTTTCTTCAACATTATCAGGATAAGTCTTCCTTCAGTCATCATCAGGATAGGTCTTTCTTCAGTCATCATCAGGATAAGTCTTTCTTCAGTCATCATCAGGATGGTCTTTCTTCAGTCATCATCAGGATAAGTCTTTCTTCAGTCATCATCAGGATAAGTCTTTCTTCAGTCATCATCAGGATAGTCATCATCAGGGTCATCATCAGGATAAGTCTTTCTTCAAATCAGGATAGGTCTTTCTTCAGTCATCATCAGGATAGGTCTTTCTTCAGTCATCATCAGGATAAGTCTTTCTTCAGTCATCATCAGGATAAGGATCTTTCTTCAGTCATCATCAGGATAAGTCTTTCTTCAGTCATCATTAGGTCTTTCTTCAGTCAATCAGGATAAGTCTTTCTTCAGTCATCATCGGATCATCATCGGATGTCTTTCTTCAGTCATCATCAGGATAAGTCTTTCTTCAGTCATCATCAGGATGTCTTTCTTCAGTCATCATCAGGATAGGTCTTTCTTCATATAAGTCTTTCTTCATCATCATCATCAAGGATGTCTTTCTTCAGTCATCATCAGGATAAGTCTTTCTTCAGTCATCATCAGGATGTCTTTCTTCAGGATCAATCATCAGGATAAGTCTTTCTTCAGTCATCATCAGGATAGGTCTTTCTTCAGTCATCATCAGGATAAGTCTTTCTTCAGTCATCATCAGGATGTCTTTCTTCAGTCATCATCAGGATAATCATCAGGATGTCTTTCTTCAGTCATCATCAGGATAGGTCTTTCTTCAGTCATCATCAGGATTCAGTCATCATCAGGATAAATTGGTCTTTCTTCAGTCATCATCAGGATAAGTCTTTCTTCAGTCATCATCAGGATAGGTCTTTCTTCATCAGTCATCATCAGGATAAGTCTTTCTTCAGTCATCATCAGGATAGGTCTTTCTTCAGTCATCATCAGGATAGGTCTTTCTTCAGTAATCATCAGGATAAGTCATTTCTTCAGTCATCATCAGGATTCTTTCTTCAGTCATCATCAGGATAGGTCTTTCTTCAATCATCAGGATAAGTCTTTCTTCAGTCATTATCAGGATAAGTCTTCCTTCAGTCATCATCAGGATAAGTCTTTCTTCAGTCATCATCAGGATAAGTCTTTCTTCAGTCATCATCAGGATAGGTCTTTTCTTCAGTCATCATCAGGATAGGTCATTTCGATCAGGATAAGTCTTTCTTCATCAGAATAATCGTAGGATAAGTCTTTCTTCAGTCAGTCATCATCATCAGGATAAGTCTTTCTTTCTTCAGTCATCATCAGGATAGTCATCATCAGGATAAGTTCTTCAGTCATCATCAGGATAAGTCTTTCTTCAGTCATCATCAGGATAGGTCTTCAGGATAAGTCTTCAGTCATCATCAGGATAAGTCTTTCTTCAGTCATCATCAGGATAAGTCTTTCTTCAGTCATCATCAGGATAGGTCTTTCTTCAGTCATCAGGATAAGTCTTTCTTCAGTCATCATCAGGATGTCTTTCTTCAGTCATCATCAGGATAAGTCTTTCTTCAGTCATCATCAGGGATGTCTTTCTTCAGTCATCATCAGGATAAGTCTTTCTTCAGTCATCATCATCAGGATGTCTTTCTTCAGTCATCATCAGGATAAGTCTTTCTTCAGTCATCATCAGGATGTCTTTCTTCAGGATAAGTCTTTCTTCAGTCATCATCAGGATAAGTCTTTCTTCAGTTCATCAGGATAGTAATCATCAGGATCTTTCTTCAGTCATCATCAGGATAGGTCTTTCTTCAGTCATCATCAGGATAAGTCTTTTCTTCAGTCATCATCAGGATGTCTTTCTTCAGTCATCATCAGGATAAGTCTTTCTTCAGTCATCATCAGGATAAGTCTTTCTTCAGTCATCATCAGGATGTCTTTCTTCAGTCATCATCAGGATAGGTCTTTCTTCAGTCATCATCAGGATAAGTCTTTCTTCAGTCATCATCAGGATGTCTTTCTTCAGTCATCATCAGGATAAGTCTTTCTTCAGTCATCATCAGGATGATTTCTTCAGTCATCATCAGGATAAGTCTTTCTTCAGTCATCATCAGGATAAGTCTTTCTTCAGTCATCATCAGGATAAGTCTTTCTTCAGTCATCATCAGGATGTCTTTTCTTCAGTCATCATCAGGATAGGTCTTTCTTCAGTCATCAGTAATCTTTCTTCAGTCATCATCAGGATGTCTTTCTTCAGTCATCATCAGGATAAGTCTTTCTTCAGTCATCATCAGGATAAGTCTTTCTTCAGTCATCATCAGGATAGGTCTTTCTTCAGTCATCATCAGGATAAGTCTTTCTTCAGTCATCATCAGGATAAGTCTTTCTTCAGTCATCATCAGGATAAGTCTTTCTTCAGTCATTCAGGATAGGTCTTTCTTCAGTCATCATCAGGATAAGGTCTTTCTTCAGTCATCATCAGGATAGGTATTTCTTCAGTCATCATCAGGATAGGTCTTTCTTCAGTCATCATCAGGATAAGTCTTTCTTCAGTCATCATCAGGATAAGTCTTTCTTCAGTCATCATCAGGATAAGTCTTTCTTCAGTCATCATCAGGATAGGTCTTTCTTCAGTCATCATCAGGATAAGTCTTTCTTCAGGCATCATCAGGATAAGTCTTTCTTCAGTCATCATCAGGATGTCTTTCTTCAGTCATCATCAGGATAAGTCTTTCTTCAGTCATCATCAGGATAGGTCTTTCTTCAGTCATCAACAGGATAAGTCTTTCTTCAGTCATCATCAGGATGTCTTTCTTCAGTCATCATCAGGATAAGTCTTTCTTCAGTCATCATCAGGATAAGTCTTTCTTCAGTCATCATCAGGATCTTTCTTCAGTCATCATCAGGATAGGTCTTTCTTCAGTCATCATCAGGATAAGTCTTTCTTCAGTCATCATCAGGATAGGTCTTTCTTCAGTCATCATCAGGATAAGTCTTTCTTCAGTCATCATCAGGATGTCTTTCTTCAGTCATCATCAGGATAAGTCTTTCTTCAGTCATCATCAGGATGTCTTTCTTCAGTCATCATCAGGATAGGTCTTTCTTCAGTCATCATCAGGATAAGTCTTTCTTCAGTCATCATCAGGATAAGTCTTTCTTCAGTCATCATCAGGATAGGTCTTTCTTCAGTCATCATCAGGATAAGTCTTTCTTCAGTCATCATCAGGATAGGTCTTTCTTCAGTCATCATCAGGATAGGTCTTTCTTCAGTCATCATCAGGATAAGTCTTTCTTCAGTCATCATCAGGATAAGTCTTTCTTCAGTCATCATCAGGATAGGTCTTTCTTCAGTAATCATCAGGATAAGTCTTTCTTCAGTCATTATCAGGATAAGTCTTCCTTCAGTCATCATCAGGATAGGTCTTTCTTCAGTCATCATCAGGATAAGTCTTTCTTCAGTCATCATCAGGATAGGTCTTTCTTCAGTCATCATCAGGATAGGTATTTCTTCAGTCATCATCACGATAAGTCTTTCTTCAGTAATAATCAGGATAAGTCTTTCTTCAGTCATCATCAAGATAAGTCTTTCTTCAGTCATCATCAGGATAAGTCTTTCTTCAGTCATCATCAGGATAGGTCTTTCTTCAGTCATCATCAGGATAAGTCTTTCTTCAGTCATCATCAGGATAGGTCTTTCTTCAGTCATCATCAGGATAGGTCTTTCTTCAGTCATCATCAGGATAGGTCTTTCTTCAGTCATCATCAGGATAAGTCTTTCTTCAGTCATCATCAGGATAAGTCTTTCTTCAGTCATCATCAGGATAGGTAGAGGCGGTTGTTAAACCATTTCAAAATTTTGCTACTCACCTCTACCTACCTTGATGATGATACAGTCCAAGTTTTCTTCTTTCTTAGATCGTATTTCCTGTACTTATTTTTTTCGAAAATAAAATTCGGACATTTCTGACAGTATTTCCTCCTTGTCCAAGAAAGATTATTCGTAACTTGGAAAAGTCGATAATTACCTCAAAAATAAAAAAAAAAATTAAAAAAATGTAAAAAGTTTCTTACACTTTAACACATATTTTCTAGCTTTAAATAACCTGCAAATGGTTGATAAACCGTAAAAAACGAATCAATCAAATCAATAAATAATTGCATCGGTAAGAATCTTTGTTTACTTGCAGAAAATATAACCACGGCTGTAGCAAAATTGTTATCAACAAAATGACAAATAAAATCAAATGACACATACAACTGATATCATAAAATGACATCAATACACATTGATGTCATTTTTCACAATACGTATTAAAACTTGATAATAATAAATAAGCTAAATCTCAAATTTATAATAATGACATTTTATTATAATTTATAATAATGACATTTTATTATAATTTATAATAATGACATTTTATTATAATTTATAATAATGACATTTTATTATAATTATAAAAGGCAAAGTCTCAACAACTTAATCCACTATCTCATGTTAATTTTGAATAATTGTAAAATCTGCTCAATATAAATATCTATTGCACAGGCATACGCACACATACACAAACTATACAAAATACTTTGTTCACATCTTTAGTAATTAATCAATTACTTCTTTCTGTACAACCGATCATTCTTTCCTCTTTTGTGATTTCGAAGCTTAGTCCTGTTCAGACAGAACATTAAGAATCGAATACAGCGAAATCGTTCTGTGAGACGAGACTGATAACACTTGTACTGGAGTCGTTGTCTATTTAGATGCATATTTAATAAAGATTAGATAAACACAAAGGCAATTCAATAGGGTACCTAATGAAGATACACCTCACTATATTGACGTATGATTTGCGATAAAAAAAAATTGCTAATCACTCTGTTAACCATTATGCTAAGATATGAGTTCGCGTATCTATCTATCTATCTATCTATCTATCTATCTATTATGTACCGTACCTATGAACACTAATGAGTATGTCCCAGTCACCATAAATACGTTGGGCACTATTGCAAGTGCGGGTAATACGCTGTCTAAGTAGCTCACCACGAGCAGTGGTTTACCTACTTCACGCCGCTGGCGAGTATTGTATTTTGTTGGTGCTATAAAGATCACCATTCCATTTCTAACCTCCGTTTTGGTTATTCCTCATTCAGTAACCTTTCCTAGGTTACAAATCTATCTATCTATCTATCTATCTATCTATCTATCTATCTATCTATCTATCTATCTATCCTAAACGCCAAAGGTTTGGAGCCACTCTCTGGATTTGAAGAGTCGCCTAAAAATTTAGGGTTGCATTCCTTTTTCAAAATAAATTTACAAGTTCACTTCGGGTTATATAATCGTTCTCTTCCTGCTGGCAATTATCATATAATAATAATAATAATAATAATAATAATAATAATAATAATAATAATAATAATTAAACAGTCACTGCATAAATTTTTCTTAAAATTGTACTTCTTATTGCATCATTTACTTATAGTTAATCTTACAGCTGACGGATTTTATTTTAGACAAAACCTCTCAAAAAATCGGATTCTATGCACTATTGAGTCAAATAGAGACAACATTCTCCTTTAAAAGGGAATAATTAAACTTTTTGGCCTATAATCTATCTATCTATCTATCTATCTATCTATCTATCTATCTATCTCAGTTTGTTATCTATCTATCTATCTATCTATCTATCTATCTATTAGTGTACACAGGCGCATGTCTGTGCATGTTGTGTTAGCTGAATATTTTTCCTTACGACATCTTTTCTTTTTCTCATGCTAATAGTTTTAAGCCTATTTTTTTTAGCTATTATGTAAATTTTAGAAAAACTAGTTACTTTTTATCAATCCATTGTTTACTTTGCTTGTTCCTAGTTTTACCGAAGAAACTTCTGTCATGTTTTTTTCCTCCTGAGCAATATTTGTGTCCTTAAGAAAAGCCTCATTGAACAAAGTTCAGCAATATATAATATTAACTGTTCACGTTCAAATTGTGACCTACAATTTGCTTAGTGAATCGTTTATTTTTGTTATTCGTTATATTATTAGTTATGGACCATGTCAAAAAGCGTATAATATTGTTAGACATGGTCAGAAGAAGTAAAATGTTTGAATGGTAATAATTTGAAAATATAATAACGCCGACCTTTGTTGTTTATCCAGCTATTCTGCTATTATTACAAATGGAAAAATGTGATAAACAGTAAAGAGAAGGGAAGAGAGGAGAGTAAGAAATAAAATGGGGCAAGGATAGAAAGAGTTTTTAATAGAAAAAGGTTGATAAAGAAGAAGAAGGTTGAAGAGAAGAAGAGGAAAATTGATGAGAAGAAAATGAAAGAGGTCGATGAGGAGAAGGGGGATGAGTAGAAGAAAAAGAAAGAAGATGATGAAAAGAAGAAGAAAAGGAAGAAAAAAATGTTAAGAAGAAGAAGAAGGGTGACAAAAGAATAAAAGAAAGTGGAGGATGAGAATATGAAAAAGAGGATAATGATAAGAACAAGAAGGACGATGAAGAAAAGAAGAGGAGGAGGAAGGGTGAAGAAAAGAAGAAAGGTGACGAGAAGAAAAAGAAAGAGGAGGATGAAAAGATGTAAAAGAGGATGATGAGAAGAAAAAGAAGAAAAAGAAGAGGAAGAAGAAGGGTGATGAGAAGAAAATGGCTGACGACAAGAAAAAAGAAGAGGAGGATGAGAAGATGAGAAAGAGGATGATGAGAAGAAAAAGAAGACGATGAAAAAAAGAAGAAAGATGTCAAGAAGATGAAGAGGAAGAGGAAGAAAAAGAAGGGTGACGAGAAATAGGAGGATGTGAAGATGAGAAAGAGTATGATGATAAGAAAAAGAAGAAAGATAAGGAAAAGAATAGGAAGACGACAGATGTTAAGAAAAGAAGAAGAAGGAGGAGGAGGAGGAGGGTGATGAAAAGAAGACAGAGAAGGGTGGCGAGAAGAAAAAGAAAGAGAAGGATGAGAAGATGAGAAACAGGATGTAGAGGAGAAAAAGAAGGAAGATGATGAAAAGAAGAAGAGAAATATGTTAAGAAGAAGAAGAAGAAGAAGAAGAAGGAGGAGGAGGAGGAGGAGGAGGAGGAGGATGATGAAAAGAAGACAGAGAAGGGTGGCGAGAAGAAAAAGAAAGAGAAGGATGAGAAGATGAGAAACAGGATGTAGAGGAGAAAAAGAAGGAAGATGATGAAAAGAAGAAGAGAAATATGTTAAGAAGAAGAAGAAGAAGAAGAAGAAGGAGGAGGAGGAGGAGGAGGGTGATGAAAAGAAGACAGAGAAGGGTGGCGAGAAGAAAAAGAAAGAGAAGGATGAGAAGATGAGAAAAAGGATGTAGAGGAGAAAAAGAAGGAAGATGATGAAAAGAAGAAGAGAAATATGTTAAGAAGAAGAAGAAGAAGGAGGAGGAGGAGGAGGAGGAGGAGGGTGATGAAAAGAAGACAGAGAAGGGTGACGAGAAGAAAAAGAAAGAGAAGGATGAGAAGATGAGAAAAGGATGTAGAGGAGAAAAAGAAGGAAGATGATGAAAAGAAGAAGAGAAATATGATAAGAAGAAGAAGAAGAAGAAGGAGGAGGAGGAGAAGGAGGAGGAGGAAGAGGTTGATGAAAAGAAGACAGAGAAGGGTGGCGAGAAGAAAAAGAAAGAGAAAGATGAGAATATGAGAAAAAGGATGTAGAGGAGAAAAAGAAGGAAGATGATGAAAAGAAGAAAAGAAATATGTTAAGAAGAAGAAGAAGAAGAAGGAGGAGGAGGAGGAGGAGGAGGAGGGTGATGAAAAGAAGACAGAGAAGGGTGGCGAGAAGAAAAAGAAAGAGAAGGATGAGAAGATGAGAAAC